TTGTGCATTCTCTTCTGAGCTTATATGCTGCGCGTTCATAGGCGTAAGCAGCAACCTCTGCAGTATCATAAGTGCCAACCAAGACTCTCATTTTATTTGGTGGGAGTCTAATCTCGACTACCCATTTCCCCCAGTGCCTTTGTGTCACTCCCCTGTATAGCTTCTTCTTCATTGGGCACAAGTAGGAGCTTGCTGACACAGAGCTTTGAGGTGGGTTTATTAATGGGTTGCGAGCAAAGAATGTGTTTGCTCTACTTTCTTGGCTGAATTTTGGAGAATATCTCTCTACTAAAGGTAGACTGAGGACCCTAGGGGCTCAAAACCAGGGTTGATCGTGGTGGTAGGGTTCGTTGATGGTGAGCAATGAGAGAAGATTGACTTTAAGGTGTTTGTACCTCCTACTAAAACGATATGTGACAGAGAGGACTGAGGCTCTGAGTCGCATGGAAATTTCGCGCTACCAACCTCGTCTGTGCGGCAATAGATCTACACATCTCTCCTGCAAAAGCAAATGTTTTCGGTTTAGAGTAAAAGGGCAGTCGGGGCCAATCGTTTTTCTCTGCGTTACAGTTCGGCAACGTCTGGCCCGTTTGGCTTGGGGCATTGCTGCTGGATCCTTCTTTGTTCAACATCAAAACGTCGATGAGCCATCGGAGAGTGTCCTCAAGCTGGTGGAATCTGTCAGCGAAACCCACCTCCATTCTGTTCAACCTGTCCTATACCCCTCCCGAACTGATTTTCAGGTTTTTTATTCTTTCGTTTTAGGTGGTTATGGCTCTGATACCAATTGATAGATCCAAAGTAAAAGAAATTCTCTTCAGGTGAGAATAAACCACAAGATTTATATTCAAAAATTGTCTATTTCATAGCTTGTTCATTCCAGCTTTAAATATACTTTTAAGCAATTACGATAACGGGATCAACTGCCTTGATCGCGTTTGCCGTAACAGCTCTTTTTCCCACGTTCTATTGCTGCAGATACTTTGGGTTCATTCTTGGCTTTCAATGAAAGCGTCATAGTGCAACGTGCACACAAGCACATTCTTACCTTGATGATCTCTAACATACTGCCACCACTAAAGCATCAATATTTATCTAGTAAGTACCAAATGGTGCAGGCTCCCATTTTTCCTGCTCTACATGTACTTCATTCTAAGGCTCATTTGATTGATCATCCTGCTCCATTTCATTGAAATAACAAGTAAGATTCAATATGCCTCTAGTTGAGAGTATATTAATTTTTTGCCTACCAAGTACCCCATAATATTCACAAAATATTATGCTATATTATGACAACGATAGGATATGCTATGATGTAACCAAAAGGTGAAACAATTAGGATTGTCTCGTTAAGGGGCTTAAAAGCTACACTTTTACGTGTATAATCACACTCTTTTAACAAGTGCTATATATCCTTCTTATGCTCCATGCGCATACTAAAAATAATACCCGATCTCACTTTTACTAGCATGACATACCAAGTGATTCATATCGACCGTATCCTCACCCATGTCTTTTATTAGTAAACTGCCCAAAGGAGAATGCTATTGTATCCTTGCATATTTCTCCCAATGTCTTTTTCGTATTCGGAGCTTGTAATTTATAAATGAGGATCTCCTACCCAGTGGACTTCCAATTAATTTAAACCAGTCTCATTAGGGAGGAAGAAACTATTAATTGTTTTGCAGTGTTCCAACCAGTTGAAGTCACCAAATCAGATACAAAAATGGGGCCTGGTTGTACATGTTTTGGTGTCAATACTCTGCGTACTAGTTGGTTTGGAAATCATTTGTTTGTCAAACACCAAATTTCGTTTACCATTTACCCACCCTCCATCTTAATCCTTTCTTCAACCGAACCTCTTTTATGGTTAAGAAGACTTCTCCATCTTACAAAGTAATCTTAAATTTTATAAAATAACAATATAGATACACCCTCAGTGCAAAATTAAATATTGGTAAATTATTTTTTCTACCTGTGTCACAGCCCCAGAAATTTAAAATGAAATGTGTATTTAAAAATATCAAATGCGGAAGCGAAGTCAAAATTTCGATTAACATCCTTTACACTAAAACCAAAAATGTGCTCACAAAATATAAAAGATCAAACTAACTAAAAAAGAAACTCGAAAGTAAAAGCTATGAATATGACTATGGAGTCTCTAGGCGTCCCCTTCGTCGTCCTCCTGCGGAACGGGCTCGGGAACAATGTCTTCCTGATCTGAAATGATTAAATAAGGAATGAGCTACACTAGCCCAGTAAAGACATCACGATATCTCACCGTCACGGAGGTAAAGGTGGGTAGAAAACACAAAAAGACCAATGGAGCATAATTTACAACAAATCATTTTGTCAATAATAAATCATTTACCATCCACTTAGCTCGGTGAAATTCATAAAACAATATACGAAAACAATAACATTATCATCATCATGAAATCATATAAACTGTATAACATAATACTTATCACGCTTTTTGTAATTCAATCATTACACAACATATTTTCTTCATTTACCAGCCTACTAGTATCCATGGGGATCCATAGGGGTCCCGCTACCCGTTAACCCTTAACACTTGAAATCAGATTTCCATGGCCGTCCCCATACCCCGTCCGGTATGGGCGCCAAAACTATAAACCTCATTACCCCGTCCGGTATGAGGGTGAAACGGGTCGTCTCCATACCCCGTCCGGTATGGGCGCCAAAACACATAAGGTCTCCATACCCCGTCCGGTATGAGAGACCACAATCCCGGTAGGGTTCCCTACGGACCCGGTCCGTCCACCATCTCCCAGGATACCTAGTCAGGCTGACCACATTATACAATTATCAATTTACATAATCTTTCATTCTCCTTTTCTTCAGTCAGCATCATCAATTTACATACAAACAAGCAAACAGTAATTTATGCCAAACAAGACAACATACAGCATCGGTTTCTCAGTCATTCAACCCATAATCAATAAAACAATAAAATATGCACGCGAAACAATGAAATGAAAACATCAGACCTCATACTGCATTTAAAACTGTAAAATATGTCAAATAACAGTTAACCGACAAACACACTAGACTCGGGCTCCATTAGCGACCTTAAGTAATTTCACATATTCGTTGATTCAAAAAATACCGTTTTACCATTATTGAACTTTAATACCGTGATAGGAAATAGGGTGAGGGGTCCTTACTCGTTTCGGGGTCCGAACACGGCTTCACAGTGCGCCTACAGACTGTCCCTAATTTTTCCTGAATTTTTTTCGGGGAACTGAAACGCACTACTGGTACCTGCACGTGTTCCAAAAAATTCCAAATTAAGCCCAGGGCCCCTTTTTGGCCAATATCGCAATTCCGGCACGGCGGCTCCGCCGTGCTCCGGCGACGGCGATTCGCCTCGGGTTGGCCGTTTTCGGCCATTTCCGGCCGAATTCGGCCACACTTGCATCGGTTCTTGCGATAAAACAACCCTAGGGCCCTCGGGGGGCCAAAAAATTACGGAAAACCGAAGCTTACCTGCGGCGGTGCTCTCGGGTGCGGCGGCTCTCCGGTGAGGTTCGTGTTTTGGTGATTCGGCTCCGATCAACCTGTAGAGAAAAGAATGGTGATCACGGTGATATAAAAATTGCATCAAAAGGAGGCCGGGAAGGGTCTCATCGGAGGCAAAAACTGAGTAGGGGCGCGGCGGCGCCGCTGGATTTTGGCCGTGTTTTCCTGCCGTTTGGTCAGGATTTTGGTTCCGATTTGGCCACAGGGGAAATCAGCGTGGAAAAACGAGTCGGAGGTATGAAATTTACCTCAATCAGTCAGTCGGAAATCTCCCCGGTACGGTGGCGGGTGGCGGCGGCCAACTTCTCCGGCGTCTGGTTCGTCTTCTCCGGCGAGGGCAGGCGGCTAGGGTTTTTGTGGTCAGGTGTGGGGGTTCTATTTATACCCTTTTGCCTTTTGATCTCAGCCGTCCATTTTGATTTAATCTGGGCCGTCCGTTTTTTATTGAATCTGGGCTGTCCGTGCGATTGCATCTGGGCCGTCCGTGCGCACGCTTGATCTGGGCCGTCCGATCGCGCGTACGCGGATCGCCAACGTAGTCCGTCCCCGGTCGACGTGATCTTGCCACGTGGCAGGTCCTGGTTGACCAAGACTGCTGACTGGGTCTGCTAACGTAGCTGCTGACGTAGCGCGCTCTTTTTTTTTTTCTTAATAAAAATATTTAATAATAAAATACAAATTTTTCAAATTTTCCGGGCATTACAAGCTGGGTATTATAGGAAATATACCATTCCATTCATTCCGTGTGATTTATTCAATTTTAGTTTGTATTAAATCCAATCAAATGTTTTATAATTTATCTTCATTTACTCATAAATTACTTTTTTTTTTTTTTGTTATTTTGAAAAATAAATTATGACCATATAAGATTTATCATACATGTTAATACAATTTGATTTGGAAAATTTTAAAATTTCTACTATACTGGTATAGTGTTTTTATATGGTTTAAATAACGCAGCAGAACTTATTTATGGTGTTAAGACTTTGATTAATAGACCATATTTGAAACCCTTACTACAGTCAATTCATGTTTCAAAATATTGGACTTGTTCAAAACATTAATAATACAATTTGATGCGTGCAACGTGTTAAATTTTTATAAATTATCAGCACTAATACTTCAAGTTGAGGAGAAAGAGTGGGAAAGTTCAATAGATTTAGTTTCAGACGTGTAGGAGACAGTAATCGAATTTTCACAATTTGGTCAACCATGATAATTTATATAACCATTTATTTAATCCCTCATAGATTTATAATAGTAAATCTTATATACAAATTTTAAATGTATTGAAAAGAATTATATGATAGGAAGAGTCTAATACAATAATAATAATAATAATAATAATCATAATCATAATAATACAGCTCCAAAGTCTGGAACTGCTGTCCGGACAGAGTTAGGTGGTGTTGAAAAAAGAATTTTAACAAGATTATCCACAAAGGTGCAGGGGATGGTAAGAGAGAAAGAAGTCTTATTTGCAGGGATTCAAGGATGATAATGCAGATGCACAAAATGGTATACTAGGCAACATGTTGCAAGCATCCAATATATAAATAGATAATGATATATATATATATACACCCACATCCACACCGACATATCCTATATATATATATCTAAGACCCTAGAACAGCCTCCTGGAGAAAGGATCAGCAGAAAAAGGGAGGAAAAAAAGAAAAAAAGAAAATTGACCAAGAATCCTCCCATTTCAACACTTTTGTTTCAAGTTTGAAGATTCTGTCGTCTTTTTTTCTTCCAAGGTTCAAGCAAGTCTATGTTTCCTGGCACACCTTGGAACTACTCAGAAAAAAAGACTAATTGTCATCTATACTTCTGCTGGAACCACCGATTTTAGAATTTCCCCGCGACCTTCCACCACCCCTCCCCTTGCTAACACCTATGTTTTTTGATGCTGTCGTCTTGCTACAGGCCGCATGGGAGTCCACATCAGCCAGGCCGTTTTCTAAAGCTCTCACCAGATTCTCGAAGTAAGTTTTCGTCACACTGTCACAAGCAAAATATATAAACAAATCAAATGAAATAGCTGTCCATTTTATAACATGATACTCTTATTACTAGTCATATATATTTATCCACCCAAGGATGCTAGCACACATCAGTGTGTTCATGACATTTCTGTCCACTGGAAATTTTCGAAACCTAAGAAGAATGATGTTATCAACATACTTTCTTATTACATTTGGAATAACTTAATTTTATTGGAATAACTTAATTTTATATGTTGATGAAGTGATAGGCGCTTAGTTTAAATATAACCATTTCGATAGAATTTAAAGTAGATTCCACTTGGATTCTAAAGATCAATTTTCATAATCTTAATAGATTTTCCACCATCTCCATATTGAACTTGTGGATTTCAAAATAAATTCCATAGAAGTAGTTTATTAATTTTCAAATAAACCCTTTAAAAAGCCATAAAAATCTCGATATTGCTGCAACTAAAGCCGTAAGATAATGATGTAAACACTGCCAGCAAGGCCTTCATCTAAGAAAGACCCCACTATCTGCTGGCTCTAAGTCTATGACTCTTTTACATTGATTCCCTAACATAAGCAAAGTCCACTGACTAACAGATATAGGTTCCTACAGTCACAATATGAAGAGTTGATTTTAGATGCAGAGGAAGAAAGTCAATCCAAGAATAGATTTGTTAATTACTGTTTTAGTGGTTATTTTGCCTTTAGTACCTCGTAAGTCCAGCTAACTTTGTGCGGAAGTTATTGAACTCCTTTGATGGACCCTCAGCGTTAAGGAAATGTTGCAATTCCTTCTCAGCACATTGATGAAGTCTTTCCAAACCAGATTCTGCTTCGCCTGACCAAAAATGTAAACATGGTAACTTCCTAAAAAATGATAAAAAAAAGTATCATACACATAAAACCCCTCTACACAGACACACAGATAGGTATATACCTTGCAAATATTCAAAAAACTGTCTCTTTGCATGCTCATGCTCAGGTAGGTAATATCCATATGCATAGGTCCACTTTAGAACTCGTCTACATTCCACTATCTGCAAAGTAGAGTTATGGATTAATGATATATTCTCATTCAAGAAAACACTACCAGCACTATCAACAGTCTCACCTGAAGCCAAGCATCTGTTATGAACTTGAGCTGAGATTCTGGGGTGCACTGTACATCACTAAGCTTCTCAAGCTGCAAAATGCAAGAAACTTATTGAGCAACCTTCAATACCACTGAAACACCCTTGGTGAGAATAAAGCTAACTCCATTAAGCACTATACTATGAAGTGAATACATTCAGCTATCTGACAATTCTTAAAGCACCTCTACGCATAATATTGCATTTTATTGTTCTTTCGCCAGTTCCAAAATACATATATCATTCCAACATATTTTCTTGAGGAAATGCATAATCTGAACAAAACTGAATGTAATATAGCAAAGAATGATAGAAAAACAATTTAAGATCCATTCTGAAGTCTGCCACTAGGAATGCACAAAAAAAAAATATTACACAATATGCATTCAACATTTCCACGGAAGTTAGAAACAAAAATAACATCATTGACAAATACAACTCAAAAAACTAGTCACCACATTCAACTACAAAAAGTTATCACGTAGAGCAAACTTACATGTATAGTTTGCATTTGATGTAAATCTGCAAGAGCTTTTTGCCTTGACTGCCAAACAAGAACAGGAAGAATCCAGATCATTGGAATATAACTCACATATATGGATAATGTTCAAAATAAAATGATAAAAATAACTGACAGACATTACAACAAAAATTAATTGCTACTGACAACAATATAAGAAATTCATGCCGACAGTCATCTTTTGATTGTACTTTCACCAATATCCTCTGAAATTAAAGATGTTAAATGCTACTGACAAAAATATTAGAAATTTTTTTGATTTTATCTCTCACCAAAATCCCCAGTAACTAAAGATGTTACGATAGTTCCCTGTGGTTCTGCTTTTTTATATGCTTCTTTTCTCAAAACGTTACCCTGCTTATGAAACTAAAAAAATTTGCTCCAATGGGAGCAAATAAAAGCATTGATGGATTTTAATTATTTTCCAATTATACACATACTTCTATAATAATTAAAGCAAAAAATATAAACATGACACCTCAATCCCACTAACAAGAAAGATATTCTCTTATTTAGCTCCATAGAAAGGCTTGTCGCGGACTACTAACTACTTGAATTTGCATTTTGGAGATCCAAAAATGTCTACAAGTCTTTGCGTTAAAGGGTAATTCAACCACGACATGGTGATAAGGACGTGCCAGCCCAGTTAATGATGATGATATCAAGAATTTGAATAGTGAAACACTCCTCAAGAGAATTTCAATGGTAGAAATAGTGACGGCCCAATCTTACAGATTGTGATTCCTAAGTTCCATAGACTCATGACCACTTCCAACAATAATTTAAGCTTTATCTTTTAAGGGTCCATCATTTGAGTCTAAAAGTTATTTGGTCAATTGTGCTTCAATCAATGGCATTGCTAAATTTGAATTAAAAAAACAAAAAGGAAATTCCTTAAATAAAATAACGCGATCTTAAGAGCGATTCTATGGTAACTCACCCATTTGGAGTTTTTGGTACCTCACTAGATTTAATTATATTCCACTACCATTTGGTTTTATTTCATACTATTTTTGCCATAGTTTGTTACCATCTTATCGGTCATTTGTTATAATCAATTTCCCATACCATGCAGATAGACATGACAACAACTTATACCTAAGATTCTAATAGACAAGCCAAAATTGTAACAAAACATAGCATAAGTAAACTATAAATAACCAAAAATTATTAGGTATCAGTACCTCCAATCTTATAAATAGACCAAATCTTGTCTATAGTATTGGGTATTGGTACCTCACCAATACCATCTTAGCAATCATTTTCAATCAATTACCCATAACATACCGATAGACATGATAACAATTTATACCTAAGATTCTAATAGACAAACCAAAAATGTGAAAAGGGGGTGCAATCCATGTAGAAAAATTTACAAGTTAGTCATTGCAGCAAAAAAGTTTCTAAATCCCCTTTATCAATGGAGGGTGACCCAACAACAAAAAATCAAGGGTCCTAAACCATCTATTCTTAAGAACATCAAAACCATTAACATCATCAATCCCCTCAAAAGCCCTATTATTCCTTTCCTTCCGCACAATCCACATAATGGTAAGTGGGATATACAGCAAACATACATCTATCCCTCACAGATACTCCCAAGCCCCCAACTCTGCTCTGACCGACCTAGCCACCACCCAATTAATCCCCAGCATGCCATACACTGCGGTCTACAGCTCATACACCTTCGGACGCCACAGCAGCACATGGTTACAGCTTTCCTCAGCCCTTTTGCACAAAAAGCAGCCATTCACCGGGACCATCCCTCTTCTCCTCAGTTTATCAATAGCTAGGATACTTTCCCTACTAGCCTACTAGCCTTCAATTGTAACAAAACAGATCATAAATAAACTATAAATAACCAAAAATTATTGGTGATGCCCCAAACTTACAGAATGTGATTCTTAAGTTCCGTAGACTCATGAACACTTCAAACAATAATTTAAGCTTGATCTTTTAAGGGTCTGTCATTTGTGTCTAAAAGTTATTTAGTCAATTGTGCTTGAATCAATTGCTTTGCAATAAATATATATTTGAAATTATTAAAAAACAAAAAAGTTCCTTAAAATAAAATAATTTTAAAAGTAATATGGTACCTCACCCATTTGGAGGTATCTTCCACTACCATTTGGTTTTATCTCATACTATTTTTGCCATAGTTTGTTACTATCTTAGCGATCATTTGCTATAATCAAATTCCCATACCATGCTGATAGACATGATAACAGCTTATATCTAAGATTCTAATAGACAAACCAAAACTGTAACAAAACATAGCATAAAGAAGCTGAAAATAACCAAAAATTATTGGTATTGGTACCTCCAAATAGGTGGAGACACTGTGGAAAACCCCACCAATTTAATTATTCTCATGATAGATTTGAATCCACTCTTATTAAACACAATATAACACACAGCACCTTCAATAATATTTTATGGTAGATTATTTACTGAGCGTTTTACTTGCTTTTGATAACATCAGGCTTTTAATCACGGCAATTAAACAATCTTTTTTTAAACACAATATAAACTTCTTACCTCAGCACTGGCAAACAGAATCTATATCTAAAACTGCAAAATTGAGATGCTTGGCGGATTTAGAAATTCTTAAACAGCTAATAAGCTCAAAATTTTCAGTTGGATTCATACAAGTTCACCATTATGACTTGTGTAATACGGTTAGAACTATCTCAACCAATAGACCATCCCGAGATATGCAATTATTTCAAGTACATTAGCAGTAAAATTATTATTTTCTCCCAGCTGAGTTCCTTTCTAGCACTCTCTGCCGGTTATGCCCCATTATTTTCCAAATTGTTTTATGAATGTAATGAAAAGTTAATAACTGAGACCACTGTAGGTCAATGGGACCATGTAAGTCAACGAGACCACTGGTGGAGAAAGTCTGAAGCGCTTTAAGCAGATTATGTTAAGAAAATGATCTTCAACTGGAGAAACTTGGGAAGGATTCTGTTTAGAAAATGATCTTCAATCAGCTCATTTAATCTTTCTATAACCTTAATTTCATTTGATTACTAAGTATATATACATATGTTATTTTTCTGTTTCTCTCTAAAAAGAAATGAAAGGATTTCTGCTGCATTGACTGGATTAGGTCAAGTAAGGAGGTGGATTTGAGCATTCACATTCATTTATAGTGAAGAATTAATATTGATAAGATGAAGCAATGGAAAATACAACTTACAGGAGGATAAGCTATCCTCCAGAAAGAAAACATACAAAAAAAAACAAAGAAAATCAAAGAACAAAAGTGCTAATACAAGTTGCAACCCAATCCATATGTACCGTACAATGAGGAACCGATCTAAAGAAACCATGTGCTTTAGCCCAAAGACATGCTGAGTGTGCAATGACTACCCCAAATATCATAACAGAATAAAAAAGGAAATTAAAATTTCCTTAATCCTCTCAACCAAAGAAGCCTAAGACAAGCACAGATAGCCCGTCTCTGAAGTGTTGAGTGCTCCTTACTCCTCCCAAAACCACAAATAGTAGAAACAAAAATCTCCAAAGCAAAACCAGGCTAAGACAAATGAAGAGAAGAAAAATCTACCCCAAACCTTCCAGGCCATGTCCCAATGCAAAATAAGCCACCGTTATATTTCAAATTAGGAAAGCACCATGAAGTACACATCAAAGAAAGAGAAACATGTGTCTGCATACTTGAAGCAAATAATTGGTATTGATTCTACAAAGGACAGCAGAGCAACTCTAACACTAGGGAACTTTTAATTCCCAAAAGGAGGATGAAAGATTAATGTTATTGTAAGCACAGCTATGCGTAAGGAGACATTAGATTATTACAATGGAAAAGCAACAACACAAAAGAAAAAAAAAAATCTTGGAACCAGGGAATAACAAAAAGCTAAAAATATATGCAACAACCAAAAGAAAAATTCTGCAACAAGGATGGAGAGAGAAGAGAATCAAAATATAAATGTAGGAGAAGACTCTGCATACCGATTGATTGCTAGCCCAACGTTCATAATAGTGAGTATATCTCTCCAAAGAATTCTTTGCCATCTCTCGCCTTCTCTCAGCCTCATCATACTAGAGGCAACCAAAAGATGATCATCCGTAAACCAAGAAGTTTTGTAAAATTACCAAACAAGTATAGTCCCTTACCGCTCCCTCCTGCTTAGCTGCTTCATACCGATTACAAGCATAAAAACCACCAGTTCTTTCACCATGATCTGACCATGCACCAAGGCAAAGCCTGCATTCATACATCTTATAAGTCACACTACTGCAAATTAACGAGTAAAATAAACAACTCATTACATGTGCTAAAGCTTACCAGCAAAACTCAAATTTACAAGGTGGAGTGCACGTCATGTGCATGCACCCTTGGTTTTTCTCAATTGGCCGCTTACACTTGGGACAAGGCTTTGAATTAGCTAGGATCCTAAGTTCCAACAGATATAAAATTGACAGGATTTAGCAAGACAGTTTACATATCAGCAAGTGTACTTAATGCTCTTAAACTTAAATTCTTAAAGCAGCACAGAGGACATATCAGAGCATTCATGAAGCAGCAATCGAAGGCTATAAAGTTGTTAAGTTCTGCCAATATTCATCTGGAACCTTATACGCTATAACTTGGAAGAAGAAAAATTAATCCAAGAACAAAAGCATACGTTAGATACATAAAATATAAACCATACCAATTCATGTTTTCAGATTCAGCACTGTTCTTCAGAATCCACTTAGCAACAGTGCTACAATCAACTGGACGATGAGCTTCCTCAGTGCACTGCGGTTTATGTTCAACGTTGCTTATCATCCATCAGACAGTAAAAAATTTAGATTAAAATCTAAAACCATAATATTTTGGATAACCAAGACCTTACATTCCAACAAAAGCTATACGAGCAAAGACAAGAAACATCAAAGTTCCCACTACCAGCAGCAAAATCAATTGCAAACTCACACCCTGGAGCCGGACACCACTTGGTCTAGCAGCAAGAAGGAAAAAGATTAGAAAAAGAATGTGAAAAGCACAAGATAAACAGGAAAAGAAAAACAAGAAATAGAAGATCATTCACCCATTCAAAGTTTCAGTACAAAAAACCAAAGGAGGCTATTAACAAAATTAGTCAATGCAAAAGCGAATAAATATCACAAGAAACCTAGTGTATAAGAGCACACTTCTTCAACATAAGTAGAATTAAAGAGAAAGTACATGCATAACACTCCTCACGAACTACTCTTCGTCCTTTTTACTTATTTAATGTAATATAATTCATTTAAACCCCTTCTCAAAAAATTAATGACTCTATTTGTATATATCAAAGGAGAGAGTAATATGGGAAGAGACATGAATTTTTATTACAATGGGATTGATGGAGCAAAACCCCACCTTAATTAGAAACAGAGAGAGAGAGAGAGAGCATCAAACCACTAAGATATCGTACTTTTTTTCTACACCACCAGCAGCAGCTCAAACAAATATATCTTCTATGGCACATGTAGATTAGTGGCCAAAATATGGGTCACAAACTCCAGATTTGGCAGAGGTAGCAAAAGAGGAATTTTCTCCTCAAACAATAAGCAACTCTTCAGCTGATAGAATTCGAATCATAAACTCATATAAATAATGTGAAAATAAATAAGCTGACATAGACAGGGTGCTGACAAGTTGGTTTTCATCCACTCAAATATTCGTCTCCAACCAAAATAGTTCCATAGCTAGACCCTATAGAAAATGGGATGTGGATCCGGATAATACAAACTTTGTGGGTTTTATCAATTGGAAGATATGAGATGGAATTCATTGGTTGAGAAGCATATGGTCTGTTATGTTTAATTTTTTCTCTCTGCATTCCATGGTTTAAATTTTAACTTCATCGTTTAAGAGTCAAAATTTTGAACTTATTTAGATAGTTATCTTTTAAGTAGTTTAACACCTTTGTGTGCTCTTCGTTTTAATTTGGTTATATCTAATATAATATCTAATATTTGACTATTAAGTATATAAGAAAAAGAAATACATATATATATATATAAACCTTCCTAAACCAACATTTGTCTAAGTTTTTATTTAAAAACATCAACCCTAATATCAAACCAAATAAATGGTTCAACCAAACTTGAAATAAAAATATCATATCAATTATTAGCCTAACCCCCTTCCAATCTTGTGTACCAATACCCCCCACCATTAACCGAACAACCGATACTCCCAAGTAACAATGGGAGAGAATGAAGGATTCTCTGGTGTCGGACAAAGTCAAGTTTCCACCTTGCAATGGGAGATCAATGAGATTCAAATCTTCCATGATAGCAATTAGTTCCTTTATGCAAGTGCCAGAGACTCTGCCCACTATCCTTCTCCTGATTCCACTCCTCCAAACTTCTGAATAAATCAAACTGTAGTTCTTCCATTCCCTCATAAGACAACCCCAGCAATTTAATGACTTCTCAAATATCTTTTTGCATCCGCCCAATATTTGGAAAAGTAAACGGAAGGCTTCACTTTTCTAATACTTCTAAGCATCCATTCAGAAACCTTTTTTTGGCAGAATAAGCCAACTAGCTGGGATTAGCATAGAACACCAATCCGAGAAAAGAGAGAGAAGAAGAAGAAGAAGAATTTGCCAGTCAAACCTTTGTTTCTTCACTAGGATAAAACTTATGACATGAAAGCCTCCTAGGATAGTTACATGCAATACATGCATAGCTACACCAAAAAAATGGGAAAAAAGAAAAGAAAAAACAACTTTTGATCTCACAATTTTCAGCACCAATTGGATAAAAAAATTCTGCCTTGATTGATAACTTAAGTGTGAACAAAGAAATGCCATAAGACTATATATTTTAATAAGTGCAAAAGGTAATGAACAAGTCGAGAGTTTTCAATCCCCAATATACCTTTCGATTGTCTTCAACATAAGACCTAAGAAAATAACGCGAATACTTCTCTTTGTCTTCATCTGATGCCATTCTGTTTATCATATCTTGACCAACAGCAGCACAACAAGATGGATCAGGACATCTCAGCGACAAACATCCCGGGCCATCATTAATGGTTGCACTTATGTAACCTATCATATAGCACAAAGAGTATGGCCAATAGTATTTTTAGAAAATTCCTAAAATTTTATGAGGCATTGAAAAGGCTAACATTCCAACATATAAAGCAAAAAAAAAACAACAGCATCACTTAATATCAAAATTCCAAAGCCTAAAAGTTTTTTCTGAAATAAAAATCATAAACAGTATATTAAATCTATAGCACCAAAGGGGTGCAACCCATATACAAAAGATATTTACAGTTCAGTAAGACTATCTATGACATGATCCTCACACCGTATACATGTCATGCCCCAAAAATAAAGAGTCAAAACAATTTAGTCATCTATTCCTAATATTCGACATATAACTCTTCACCCCATCAAAAATGCTTCTATTTCTCTTCTTCCACTCCATCCAAAAATAGTCAAAGGAATTAACGTTACACATTTTTCCTTTTAACAAACTCCCCCCCAAGCGCACCAAAGCCTGAAAGTTATTTACAAGAAGGAGAAAGAAAGAAAAAAGAAAACTTATGAAATAAAATCAAATTAGTTCTAGTGCAACTTCTTTTTCCAGTAAGAAACATTAGTTCTTTTTTTTTTTTTTGAGATATAAGAAACATTAGTTCTTAGTTATATTAGATGTAAACATCGCAAAGAGGAAGAAGGAAGGTATGCCCTGGATTCTGGCTTCTTGACCTATGAAGATGGTGAGACAGTTTTTGAGAAAGCAGCAAGGTCAGTAGAACAGGAAGAGAGGGATGATTTATGTCATTGCGGCTTCTAGGAAGTCTGGATAAGAAAGAAGGAATTATTTGCCACTGCCAAGTTATCAGGAGAACTGTCCAGATGCATCGACACCTTTACCTATAGTAAGATATGGAGAAGAAAGGAAGACGAAGAAAAGGAAAGAAGAGGAAAATGGGAGGGAGAGCTGGCTGTGATGGAAGTGGAGAAAGACGAAGAAGGTAGAAGTGAAGTTTCAAAATGAGTCTTATTATGATTTGTAAAATCAATCATGGAATGTAAGAGAAGGCAATTAGTAGAACTCCGAAGTCACTAATAATAAAAGACAAGGGGTGGGAAGGAAGAGGAAATTAAGAAGACTACATAACTTGATAAATTATGAAAAGATCAACATGGGAGGGAGTGCAGACAAAGGTGGAGTGATCATTGAATTATTATGATTCATAAAATAATATTGGTGGAATGTATAAGGATTGGATGAGGCTAAAAGAACGAGCAAGAGTTAAGGGGTGCTTATCGAGATGGAAACTTGATGTACTTTATCTCCAAAAACAAATGGAGACTTTGCCCATCAAGCTAGCTTATGTCTATGGAAATGTAGAGAAGTGAATTGGAGGGAATAACCAGCAAACAGAGTGGTAGGTGTATATTGGTAATATGGAATGAAAGCATATTGCAGATAGGAAATACTTTCAGAGGCGAATATGCTATTTCATGTGTTTCTGAAATTAAATCAAATGGAGGCCAATGGATGTTCACGTGCATTTATAGTAAAGGGAAGGAAGAGGAGAGAGATTTGCTATAGAGAGATTTTGAAGAATGAAAGAATAGGTTGGATTTCCTGTGGGTGATAACAGGAAACTTCATGTAGTGCTCAAGTCCCATGAAAGGTTGGGGGAAAAATTCTCGAGGGTTTATACGGAAGAGTTTAGAGCCATTATGTATAGATTTGATTGATGGATTTGTCATTATCATGAAGAAGATGAACTTTGTCAAATTCTCGGGAGAGTCCAAGTTTCTCTAGGATTCACCAATTCCTAGTATCAACCCTTGTCACATACTCATGCCAAGCATGGTTCAAAAGCTACTTCAATGGTCACTTCATATTATTTCCCTCTATCCTTGGAGTAAAATGTATTGCTCGGAGATGGTGCCCTTTCGGATTTCAGAACAAATTTTCATCACATGGGAGACTATCTACAGCCTGGGATGAGCAGTCATAGAATATTAGTCCACAAAGAGTCTTTTCCATAAAGTCATACTACACCAATTTGAGAAGGGATGAGAGGACTATCTAAGATTTCTCATGCAACCTGATTTGGAAGATTAAGGCATCACCAAGAGCAGTGGCATTTTTTCTTCGGAAGCGACAATAGGTTGTATTCTAATTCTAGACAATCTCATTAAAAAGGAGAAGGTCATTGTGAATGGATGATTTTGTGTGCAAGGGAGCAGCAGATACTGTCAAGCACCTCCTTTGTTGTCCTGTGCCCCATCAACTTAGGTGCTTGGCTTGAAACCTATTGCGCGTGAATTGGGTTTTAGCTGGACAGGTCAAAGAAGATAATTGGGCATGGAGAGGCAACCAAGGGGATAAGCGGTATACGAAGCATCTAGATCTTATCTCTTTGCTAACTAATAGGTTATATTAAAAGAGAGAAACATTAGAGTTTTTAAGAGTATAGAATTATCTTTTAATAGAATTAAGGACACGACTACACACCCCAGGTTTTTTGCTAAAGGATCATTCTCTTTAGACTTGTGACCACTAAAGAAATCTAATTTGACATTTTTCATACTTGTAAAAAATTTTGTATACAGGTTACACCTCGTTAGTGCTCATTAACACTATACTTTTTATTTCAAAAAACAAATTACATGTAAAACATGAGCTATATTCAACAAAAATTCCAAAAAGGGGCTTAAAACACAATGTTGCATCAGTACGAATAAATCGTGGTTTATGCACATATTTATAGAGGGTGGAAAAAGGAAAGACATGATATCAAGATTGAATAAGGAAATAGAAAAAAGATGAGAAGGAAAACGAACCTCTCCAACATGAACCGCAGAAAGGATGACCACAAGCAGCTGAAGTAATTTTATCACGAGTATAGGATTCAAAGCAGATCCCACAAGTCAGCTAAACACGAGAATTAAACGTTAGGATGTTGCAGAATATAGAGGAACTAAAAATTCTACATCAATTAGGAGTTGCAAGTCTAGCTAGCCTATAATATCCTGTAATAATTTTTGAGTATTATAATATCTTGTAATAACATAGATAAGACTAAATCTTTGGTAGCTTTAGGATTTTATTTATAATACAAGTTCTAATTTTATATTAGAATTCCTTATTAGTTAGATAAAGATTTCACATTTAAGTATTGTAAATACTTTTTTAATCTCGCTTTGAAACCACGCCATGAATCAATAAATTATTCCAAGAACTTTTTCAATATCTTGGTTCTACAATGTTTAGAAACTCCTTAAATATGATGCTTGAGAAACCCCTTCTTAACCTAATGACATGGGAAAAAGCCCCTTCTTAACCTAATGACATGGGAACAAGTTAACCTTGACCAAATTTGTTTGTCTTATTTTTTACCAGTTTGCTCAAATTTGAATTTTTCAGTTCACCCAAAACCAGTTTAGCCTTTTCTAGATCCACTCTTCACAGGTTTAGACCAGTTCTCAAGTACTTTTGGTGTCCTCGCACTTTTGCAGTCTATTTCACTAAATTAGCACTCTAACGTACACCTTTGCAGGAATTTTATATATGGTGAATAGTGAGGACAAGCATAAGCCATCATTTATAGAGTAAACTTTATACCTCTCTTGGTCGTAGTTAAGCACACAAAGAGAAACATGAATGGAAGCATTTTCTAAACACTCAAAGCCTGATTCATTGTGAATATCAAATAAAAGCTTATCATTTATGAAGATTCTTCTCCTCAACCACCACCAACTCACTCTTCCAATCATAAGTGTTGTTCTTTCCCATATTCCTTTTGCACCATGATAATCTAGATTCAAAATATGTTTACAATCAGGTCCCATATAGAGGCATCTTTGATCGTGGCCCTAATGCGCAATCCCAAGTACTTCAATGGTAGATTAGCTAGTTTACACCCTAAAACTCCGTCCAAGGTGACTAAATCCACCTTTCTTATCAGAACTGTTCCAACTTTGTCAAATTAATCTTGTGAATGAAAAGTGTAACCATAAGAGAATCTAATGTTCAATAAAAATAGGGGTTCAGGCTTACAGAAAAGCAATGTACCATCAAGAAGGAACAAATCATCACCTACTCAGTGTCTCCACTTTTCCCTACCACCATTCATATTGTCTTGTCATCCTCCACCATCCGTTAGCCTTCACTCCCTCAAGGATACAAATCCTCCTCCATCTCTCCTTTGATCTTTCTATGGTGGCTAGACATCTAACTCCAAGCTTGACATGTAATGCCACTCATGAAGTGTGGTTCTTTCCCACCAATTATAACCCATGAATCTTTACCATTCCCCCAAAAGAATCCAAAAGGGTTCTGATCAACCACTCAACCTCCCCTTCCGAGAAAACTATCATCATCTGAAACCCCCTCCGATTTTCACTTAAACTGACACAGTTGATTTTTCTCCAATTAGCATTATATCATGAGACTTCCGTTCAATGATCAAGAATCTCCTAAAAGGAGATACCAACATGATAGAAAGATAAGAGTTTACTTCGACCAGCAGATGCTGACTGGAGCAGTGGATTGACCATTGTGCCCAAGATATAAAAGTGCCTATAAGTTCGGGTCAGCCAGTCAAACTTCCCTCTCATCAAAGTTATCAATAATCTCCTAGAAGGAGAGACTGACAAAAAGAAAGGAAAATAGTTTGCTTCAAACAACTGCAGTTGGCATAGAGCCAATGGATTGACCTCCATAAATGAGGGAGAAAGAGAGAGTTTTCTGACCCTAATAACAAGGACTTTAACTTAAAAAACAATAAATGATTCTGAGAATTCTCTTATTATTTTGGTTGTGTGATGCAATAATGTCTTAATTTTAATAGTTAAGAAACCCCTTCTTAGGGGGAATGTCTAAGAAATGTAGGCCCCATATGTAGGTTTATCCCAAATTTTTTTAGGTGGACAAATTAACCCAAATTTGTCCAATTCATCTTGCATCATAGTAGAAGTAAACAACGAATAATAACCAAAGATTATTAGGATAAGGTACAAAACTAGCCCTTGATTCACTGTAGAAGTATACAGCAAATCATAACCAAAGATTACTTTAATAAGGTACAAAAATAGCCCTTCAGTCTCCAATCACAAACATGAAGAGCTTACTTCTCTAGCATTTGAAGGTGGAACAATCAGTTTCTCCAGCAAGCCAACAGTTCTTCGAACACTCTCTTCGTCAGCAAACCATTCATCATGAACTTTACTAACGCTCCTGCAATGTTAAATTTCTTCAGAACATGAATGTATCACAGAAAACTATTTCTATTTAGGACACATAGATACAAAATGCAAAAGTTTCCAAAAAATGTATCCCTTCCAAGAGATTCACAACATATATTATCCTTTGGCAAAAAATGATCAAATCAAAACAGTCAACATGAAAGGACCACAGTTACCACAAAATTGATGTTTGCAGTGAGTCCTAACGATACCAGGGCGCTATCTGATAAACAGAATTATGTATATGTATAATCATAACAGAAAATTACCAATTTATTTATTAAAAATTCTGAAAACTGGTGAAGTCAATAACAGAGATATGGATGACATAAATCCTAAAAAACGTTATGAGCTACTATCATCTTTTCTTATCCATGTAATTTTTATCTCTCTACCTTTTTTATGCCAACAATCCGCCCTTGCCCTACTAACTAACAGAATTTAGATTCCCCAATCCAAGGATCCAAAATGCAAATGAGCCTTGAATTGGAATACAGCACTAGATCCTCTAATAAATTACCTAAAATAGTATCGTCCAGACAAAAACAGCCAACAAAAATAAGTATAAAAGAATAGATGATATATTAATCAGCCTGGATAATATACTACTCAACCTACACATCAACATTACGTGACAAGTACAAAAAAAAAGGCCTTACCAATGATAATGGCAAAGTAAAATACTTGCCGCTACTCTTGATATTGAAAGGACAGTAGACACCCTCGTGATATCATCTTCTTGATGCCGTCTTATATCAGCTTCCTTTAAAACAGAATAACTTTGCTGGAATAGAAAACCACATATGTAAAAATCACTAAGAAAACACGATAAATAAACCAAACAAGCCCTGGGGAACATCAAAGAATCTTAATGGAAAGAAAGCATTCATATGAATGGTGAATCAAGACATGAGAGATATAAAAATGAAACACATGCATAGCACATGTAGCATTAAGACTTCAAAAGTGTCAAGTCAAGGAAATCAAGGTTTGTCGACGTGCCCGAATTTTTTAGTTCAATTATAGGCACAATCATGCAAATTTAATATCCAATACAGCAACCTGAAACAGAAAATTAGCAATGAAAACATTCTTCAAAACTCAAGCCCTAGAAAATTTCAAGAATTTCCAGAAAAAACAAGTCAGGAAAGGAGTGCTACTAGCCTAACCAGTGTGAAATCCTATTTAAAAAATTCAAATTACTATTGCCCAGATTCCAGATTAACATCAAGCCAAGTAAACTGACGGCAATATTGTAGTATGATCATTACACAATATCTCAAATGAAATTGACAGCCAAAGGAGACTAAAACGATGTCACCGAACCCTCTATCTCTATAAAATGACTGATGGTGTTGGTACGCCACCAGACTCACCTAACTGGCATAAACAATTCTTTTCCTGAAATTTCTCAGAAACTGTGAACGAGGCGAGGCAGTCTGAATTAATCAGCAACTTCAGTCAGAGAGGCTGAATAATGATAGATTAAGCCAACCTCATCGCTGATTGCATAAACTTTCAAACAATACACATGAACCCAGTTTCCAACAACTCAACCAGTAACCAAACAAACCCGAATGCCCTATTAAAACAGAATTCCGTCCTATGATAAGCAAACGAATCTAAAACTTTCTTTCATTTTACCCAAACCTTGCCGCCTCATCAGTGATCGTTGATCATGAAAAGTAAAGCAAAGAGATTAGCACGCAAGAGAAAGTGAAGATAGAAAATTCACCTGAGAGCGACTAGACGCAATCGCATAGGCATCATCAGCCTCCTCGATGAACTCGTAGTCAGGGTCGGCTTCTTCACTGTCGTAATAACCAGCATACTCAGTCTCACCGCTGTAGAAATCATCGTCGACGGACTCGAGGTCGTTGGCGTCGAGCATGTCGTCCTCAGAATCCATGGGGCCAGAAGAAGGTAAAGTCGAAGAATCAGAAAAGAGTTTTATCCAATTTAGGGTTTGGATTGGAAGAAAGCAAGGGAAATTGTAGAAGAAAAAGAATTTGGAGAGTCGGAGAGAAGCAGTTTGGTTTTCTGGTTGTTTCCGGGTCGGGTTTTCTTTCTGGGAAAGGAATAGGAAACTATATAATAATGTCCGCCGTTGAGGCGCAAAAAGGAAAGTATCATGCGAGAGTAATAACAAAATCACGGCAGTACTCTGTTGCCGTTTGCTCGCTGTCTTATGTTTTCTGTAAGGAGTTTTCTATTGGTTGAAAACCTGACTATAAACTCGGACCGACTGGTCGGACCGGACTGAATGAGGTCCGAGTCCGGATCTATGGTGGTCAACTTCGGTCAATTATCAGTCCAAATTTTTCAAGAGAAAATAAAATATGCATTATATATATAAGCTTAGCTTGACAAGCTAGCCTTCTGTGTGCAAATTATCAGTCCAAATTTTATTAATTGATTTTGATTTCAAAAAAAAGTGCCTGATCAGAACCCTATTGATGTGAACTCTAATCCTATAAATCCACACCTGTATAGAGTAGGTCGTTCAACACATTTATTGTAGACAATCGAACGCTCCCTTCATAATTACCAGATCGACTTTGCAATAATAATTTCACAAACACCTAGCGGGAAGGACACGACAAATAAATAAAGTAGCTTCATATTCGAACCTGATGATACCATACCATAATTGAAAAGGCACAACAGCCGGAGCAACTAAAACTTAACATAAATGTAATCACTTGTGTCATTTTAAAAATTAAAAAATAAATAAATAAATTTGCACTATTTGGTAAAATCAATTTCAAACCATCTTCTGAAGGTTGTAATAATCTGAATGATCTCAGTACATCAAGACCCTTTTGATATTGCACAAAAATCGCTATTTTACATTCAACTAGTATTAAAAATGCTAATCATAAATATTTTTTTGTATTCAAATTCTTTAAAAAAAAAAATCAAGAGTATATTACATTTTTATTCAATAACACAAATATAAGTAACTAAAATATATTTTGTTAATTTTTACTGTAAGTTTTTTTATATAATTTATTTTAGAAATTCAAAAACAAAATAAAATTTACGCAAATATAAGTGAAATGACAGAATCCGTAAAAATTATTCAACAGACTCTGGAATGAATTCCAAGAGGCTCCAATGAGAATTTAGAAATCCAATGTTTTGATAGAAAAAAAGAATCCATAGTGGAATGATTTTGACTATCGATTCATTAGTGAAAAACCTTCTCCTACTTTTGAATTGCCAAAACAAGAACTGTATGTTGAGAGTCGAAGCTCCAAAGGGAGAATCGGGAATTTTTCTAATAAGGGATCAAAGTAGTTTTCTTTGGAGATGGAAAATTTGCTCACCGGGTTTTATTAATTTGCAAATTCTTCCTCAGCTAGTTAAAAGAATGAAATTGGCTAATATTATGACGATACTTGGTAGTATAGATATCATTATGGGAGAAGTTGATCGTTAAAATGATAATTGATACAATAGAAGTACAAGATATCAATTTTTTTTCATATTGAAATCTTTAAAAGAGTTTTATGGAATCATATGGATGTTTGTCCCTATTTTGGCTCTTGTATTGGAGATCACAACAGCTGTACTAGTAATTGTATGATTAGAAAGAGAAATATCTGCAGGGATACAACTGTAACGGCCCCAGAAATTTAAAATGAAATATGTGTATTAAAAATGTCAAATGCGGAAGCGAAATCAAAATTTCGATTAACATCCCTTACACTAAAACCAAAAACGTGCTCAAAATATAAAAGATTAAACTAACTAAAGGAGAAACTCGAAAGTAAAAGCTGTGAATATGACTATGGAGTCTTTAGGCGTCCCCTTCGTCATCTTCCTGCGGAACGGGCTCGGGAACAATGTCTTCCTAATCTGAAATGATTAAATAAGGAATGAGCTACACTAGCCCAGTAAAGACATCACGATATCTCACCGTCACGGAGGTAAATGTGGGTAAAAAACACAAAAAGACCAATGGAGCATAATTTACAACAAATCCTTTTATCAATAATAAAACCTTTACCATTCACTTACCTCGGTGAAAATCATAAAACCGTATATGAAAGCAGTAACATTATCATCATCATGAAATCATATAAACTGTATAACATAATATCTATCACGCCTTTTGTAATTCAATAATTACACAACATATTTTTCCTCTTTTACTAGCCTATTAGTATCCATGGGGATCCATAGGGGTCCCGCTACCCGTGGACCTTTAACACTTGTAATCAGATTCCAGGGCCGTCCCCATACCCCGTTCGGTATGGGCGCCAAAACCATAAACCTCAATACCCCGTCCGGTATGGGCGCCAAAACACATAGGGTCTCCATACCCCGTCCGGTATGAGAGACCACAATCCCGGTAGGGTTCCCTACGGACCCGGTCCGTCCACCATCTCCCATGATATCTAGTCAGGCTGATCGCATTATACAATTAACAATTTACATGACCTTTCATTCCCCTTTTCCTCAGTCAGCATCATCAATTCACACACAAACAAACAAAATAGTAATTTATGCCAAACAAGATAACATACAGCATCGGTTTCTCAGTCATTCAACCCATAATCAATAAAACAGTAAAATATGCACACGAAACAATGAAATGAAAACATCAGACCTCATACTGCATTTAAAACTGTAAAATATGCCGAATAACAGTTAACCGACCAACACACTAGACTCGGGCTCCATTGGCGACCTTAAGCAATTTCACACATTCGTTGATTCAAGAATTTCCGTTTTATCATTATTGAACTTTAATACCGTGATAGGAAATAGGGTGAGGGGTCCTTACTCGTTTCGGGGTCCGAACACGGCTTCACAGTGAGCCTACAGGCTGTCCTTAATTTTCCCTGAATTTTTTTCCCGGGGAACTGAAACGCACTACTGGTACCTGCACGTGTTCCAAAAAAATCACAAATTAGGCTCAAGGCCCCTTTCGGCCAATATCGTAATTCCAGCATGGCGGCTCTGCCGTGCTCCGGCGACGGCGATTCACCTCGGGTTGGCCGTTTTCAGTCGTTTCCAGCCGAATTCAGCCACACTTGCATCGGTCCATGCGATAAAACAACCCTAGGGCCCTCTGGGGGCCAAAAAAATACGAAAAACCGAAGCTTACCGGCGGCGGTGCTCTCGGGTGCGGCGGCTCTCCGGTGAAGTTCGTGTTTTGGTGATTCAGCTCCGATCAACCTGTAGAGAAAATAATGATGATCACGGTGATATAAAAATTGCATCAAACGGAGGCCGGGAAGGGCCTCATCAGAGGTAAAAACCGAGGAGGGGCGCGGCGGCGGCGCTGGGTTTCGGCCGTTTGGTCAGGATTTTGGCTCCGATTTGGCCACAGGGGAAATCAGTGTGGAAAAACGAGTCGGGGGTATGAAATTTACCTCGATCAGCGGTCAGAAATCTCCCCGGTGCGGCGGCGGGTGGCGGCAGCCGGCTTCTCCGGCGTCTGGTTCGTCTTCTCCGGCGAGGGCAGGCGGCTAGGGTTTTTGTGGTCAGGTGTGGGGGTTCTATTTATACCCTTTTGCCTTTTGATCTCAGCCGTCCATTTTGATTTAATCTGGGCCGTCCGTGCGACTGCATCTGGGCCGTCCGTGCGCACGCTTGATCTGTGCCGTCTGATCGCGCGTACGCGGATCGCCAACGTGGCCCGTCCCCTGGTCGACGTGGTCTTGCCACGTGGCAGGTCCTGGTTGGCCAGGACTGCTGACTGGGCCTGCTGACGTGGTGCTTTTTTTTTAATAAATTTAATAAAAATAATTAATAGAAAAATTACAAAAATACCCATGTTTGGGCGTTACAACAACAATGTATTAAACCTGAATATGTCAATCCTTTGAGAATTCTTCAAGCTCTAGTAGATGGGATAAAACTATTTTTCAAAGAGAATCTTTTTTCATCTAGAGAAAATACTCATTTATTCAGTATTGGACCGTCTATAGCAGTTATATCAATTTTACTAAATTATTCAGTAATTCCTCTTAGTAATCACCTTATTTTAGCGGATCTCAATATCGGTATTTTTTTATAGATTGACATCTTAAGTATTGCTCCTATTGGACTTCTGTCAAGGATATGGATCAAATAATAAATATTCTTTTTTAGACAGTTAATTATATAATTATATTAATTATATATTTCAAAAACTGAAAGGACACAGGGGCAATGTGTGTTGAAAAACTAGCATAGTTAATAGAGCATTTATTGAATAAAACAAAATTAACAAAAAGTTAAATATCCTAATGAAAAAATAATCTAATACAAAAAAAAAAGAAAAAAAATAATGGTAATGCTATAATTCTTGTCAAATTTTTTAATAGATTTTTGTATTATTTTCAATAAAATTTTTGTTTTCATATAAAGTATATATGAATTTAAATAAAGCTCAAGAAAGTATTTTATTTGCTTTTGTTAGAAAATTACGATTGACTTTAATGTGGAAGCAATAGGACAAGATATTTGTTTCTCTACCCACAGAGAATGATCCTTAATTGTTGATACTCTTAACTACTTCTGTTTTTTTCCAGATGCTACTAGAGTTATAAATAATCTTCACACTCCAAAACCCAAGTTTGTTTATAGTTTTACTCAACATAAGAGAGAGAATGATAATATATTATTTTCTATGTATTATTTTTTCTTGTTCAACAGAAATAATTTTTTCTCCCTTATATGCTCACCAAGAATCACGTCTTTTTACAAACGATTTTTCCCTTATAAGCTCATAAAAAGTTGTGCTTTTTTATAAAATGGTATTGTGGGTATTCTAATTTTATATAACATCTCCCACTTGGTCACACAAGTCATACTAACCATAATATACTACCACATCAACATATCTCTCACGCTTCACACAGGAAATAGGGCATGTGACCAAAAAGTAACAAGTAATATTATATTAAGTCATTA